AAAAGATTGCCTAATTTTCTAAATTTGGTCCAACCCTCTTGCATCTTGTATCAACTACGGGATCTTCCGAGAAAAGTACCAGTCATTGCATCTTTGGGGCACTAGAAGTGTCTTGAGAAGTACTTGGAACATATCTCTTCTTCGCTTTGTACCTCTCTCTGAGTTGATATCATTCCCTTTTTAGCATGGCAGCTCCCTTTTATCTTTTCCCTCACATGCATCAAACCTTGGTTATATAACAACTTCATTACCCATTGTCCTCCCCATGAAAACAACAATAATTGCAAGTATATAGAGTTATTTTACATACGTTGTAACGGGAGAAAAGGGGTTTTTGCGAGTGGAACATATCTCTTCTTCGCTTTGTACCTCTCTCTGAGTTGATAACGTTCCCTTTTTAGCATGGCAGCTCCCTCTTATCTTTTCCCTCACATGCATCAAACCTTGGTTATATAACAACTTCATTACCCATTGTCCTCCCCATGAAAACAACAATAATTGCAAGTATATAGAGTTATTTTACATACGTTGTAACTGGAGAAAAGGGGTTTTTGCGAGTGGAACATATCTCTTCTTCGCTTTGTACCTCTCTCTGAGTTGATATCGTTCCCTTTTTAGCATGGCAGCTCCCTCTTATCTTTTCCCTCACATGCATCAAACCTTGGTTATATAACAACTTCATTACCCATTGTCCTCCCCATGAAAACAACAATAATTGCAAGTATACAAATAAATGGAGAACTTGAATCAAACATTTCCATTGCGATGATGTCGAGTCTTCATTATGGTTCTATTTTGCCATTGGAGTGTTTACCATTTAGGATGCAGCTTTCTTCTCGACGTTTAAGACTCAAGTTCTCTCCTGAATAAGTGGAGGAGCTGAAACATTTTAGAAAAAAGAGCAGCCTACTTATGCATTTTCTTTTTACATAAGGAATGAAATTCAGTAATATAAAAGGTCTAAAAGAATAACGTAGCAAAAACTAAATGACATTGATTGGTGAGGTGATTTAATTGCCCTATTTTGATAATAAGGATAACGGATCTCTGGATAATAGAAGTCAAGTTGTATTCAAATGAAGCATCATGATGACATTATGTAAAATTTCTTAGATTATGTTAGAGTCAAGTATATACTTACTAATCAAATGTCATTTACCTTCAATCTCTATAACCCATTTCTTTTTGCACAACCGTAACATGCGTACTAAAAGAAGAATAAGAAACCAATGAATGAAAATGATAGGGTCATTAATTGCTATGGAAGTATAGGAGTTTTTTCTATTCTATAATCTTTATAACCCATTTACACACCATTTCCCCCTTCAATTTGACTATTGATTCAATAATGTTTAAAACAACCATTTGGACCACAAAGAGAAACCTGAACCTCAAGCAAAAAAAAGGCAAAGATCCCCTCTAACCATACAAAGATCAAGAAATACAATTTGCAAATAATTAAGAACAAAAATTAAACATTGGACATTCAACACCATGAATTGCATTGTTTCAAAGTTATGTTATCTTAAAACTTGCATGTATTCCTGTTGTTTGTGTAAATGCAGCAGCAAAGAAGTTTGAAAACATAACATGGAGCCTGACACAATGTATAAAAAGAAATATGATTCTAAAATCATGATTTCTCACCACCAGAAGTACAAATAGACCATTATAAGGATAACATTTATGGGTGGTCTATTTCATAACTCTAGAAAACACAACAAACAACTATACACAATGACACAGTGCAGTGGGCAATATATTATTCTCAAAGGATTCGAAGTACTAAAGTTTAGGTTAAACAGAAACATGAACGTCAAACAAAAAAGGTTTATTTATTAAGCAAACATCCCCTCTAACGATACCAAGATCAGAGGTCCAATTCGCAAACAATTAAGCCATAAAGAATCATCGGACTTCTAACACCTTTAATTGTTTAAATTTGGTTTGTTTCGAAGTTATGGTCTCATAACATGAAATTTATTCCTGCTGTTTGTGTAAAAGCAACCGCAACAAAGAAGTTTGCCAGCATAACAAGCAGCCAGATACACTAACAAAGTACAGTAGGTGAAATATGTGTATTTTGTTGTTGTTGTGGTGCTCAAATCAATCTATTAATTTCTTTTATGTAAATGTCTAGGCTTCCCTTCTACAATTCATTAAGCAGTCTCTTAGTAATTAATCACAATTCACAACTGTAAGGACAAAAGTTCATCGTGTGGGTCCCACCCAAATATGTTCCCTCTTTCTCCACTCTACTGTCATCCTAAGAAATAAAGGGAAAATTGTTTTAAAAAAATAGGGTAATGACTATTTATTAGCCAAACCTTTTTTGGATTCTTTTTTATTAATCAAACATATCGAAATACTAAAACTTAGTCAAATGTTAACTTCCAATTAGCAATTTTGTTAGTAGTATTGACTTGGCAACATGATATTGACTTGGAAGAGACACTTGAAGGTCAATATTCCAAAATCTTAGTATTTTAACTAAGAAAAGAGTTACAAATTTATTAACGATACCGTAAAAATTACTGATATTTTGATGCACAACGAAAGATTTGGTTAATTAATAGCATTTTAATAGGTTTTGATAATATAAAATAATCTGCAAAATTTTTGGATAAAAATAGATATTACCCAAAAAAATAATAAGGAAAAATGAAAACAAGAAATGTTATGTGGGTCCCTCCACTTTCTGAATTGTTTATATTCTAAATATGTGTATTTTTTGTTGTCGTGGTGCTCAAATCGATCTATTTGTTCGTATTTGATTTTACGTCTTTAGTCATCTGGTTTGAGCTCGAGCTCATCGATCTATTTTTTCGTATTTGGTTTTACGTTTTTTGTCATTTCGCTCGAGCTCAAATAGGAAAATGACGGAGAAATCTTCTAATACGAGTTTCACTCATTAACATATTTTTTATCGTTGTATTGCAAATCGACCTCTTTGTTTGAAATCGGTTTTGCATTCTTATTCATCTCTTCTCGCGCTCCATTAAAATGGAGAATATAACATCGAAATTAAAGTAACCATACGCATTCTTTCGTCTTGTTTCTCTTTGTTTTTTTTTTCATTTCAAATGCAGAAATTTTGTAAATACTCTAAGTAACGATTGACGAGCTCCAAATATGTAGATCGACATCTTCTACTTTATAACTTCAATTGTCAACGAGTGAACATTACTACGAATCTCTCCCATAACATGTTAGTGATTTTTCTTGCCGTATTTGGAGTTATATCGTATAAATTAAATTTTATTAATTTTTTTCCGGGTTAATTGCATGGTTGGTCACTGAGATTACAAAAAACGTTCATGTTTGGTCACTGAAAATATTTAAATCCAATCTTGGTCACTCAAATTAGTTAAATGGTTCAAGTTTGGTCACTCTCCGTCCAACTCCGTTAAATATATCTGATGTGGCAGTCAACTCTCAAAGTTGACCGTTAACTCGGTGACGTGGCAATTAAAAAATAATAAATAAAATAAATTTTAATCTTCTACCATTTCCAACTCATTTTTCACAATAAAGTAAAATAAAAAAATAAAAAAATAATTATAAATGGCTTCTACCGTTTGGTCACACGCCCTCACCGCCCAGCACTACCCCGATTCCGATCATGAATGAGGAGGACGAGTCGTCTTCGAGGAAGGTGGACGATTTCATCGCCACCGCCCTCTTTTGGTGGAGGCGGAGCTGCTGCCGTAGTAGGAGAGTGGGTTTGGGGATCCCCGCCGTCGGGCTGGTCGTGACGAGGCTGGAGCTTGAATCTGTCGAGGAAGGCAGCATCGGAGATGTGATCGTCACGATTGGAATTAACATCCCTGTCCGTCCTCGTCCGTGGCTGCGCATTATTATGATTTTGGGGGAAGTGAGAAGCTCGCGGCGGCGGAGGAAGTGGCGGCGGAGGGGCGGCGAAGCGGGACTGGAAGGGTCTCTCGCGTCTCAGAGGCCTATTAGGTATAGGATTTGGAGGCGCAGGAGCGAAGGGTTCATCATTTTCGATTTGTTTACCAAAGCCAGTTTCTCCTGCAGCCGAGAACTGCAGCGGCGTAGCAGTGCCGCCAGCGAGTTTGGGATCGGAACCCTCAGTTTCACTACAGACGACCACGCCATTCACCCGCCGCAAAAAAACAATGGCCTTTTAGTTTAGGGTTTGGAAATTCGATTGATCCCCCTGGACCTGGAGAGAGCGAGTTTAGTTTAGGACTCTAGGACTAGGAGGGTTTTTGCCAATTGGGAGAGGAGGAGGACGAGTCGTCTTCGAGGAAGGTGAGGTCCTCGTCGTCGTCGTCGGTGGCGGAGGAGGAGGCTGAAGCCAGATTGGAGGCGAGAAGGAAGGCGGTGAGGGCGTGTGATCAAACGGTAGAAGCCATTTATAATTATTTTTTATTTTTTTATTTTACTTTATTGTGAAAAATGAGTTGGAAATGGTAGAAGATTAAAATTTATTTTATTTGTTATTTTTTAATTGCCACGTCACCGAGTTAACGGTCAACTTTGAGAGTTGACTGCCACATCAGACATATTTAACGGAGTTGGACGGAGAGTGACCAAACTTGAACCATTTAACTAATTTGAGTGACCAAGATTGGATTTAAATATTTTTAGTGACCAAACATGAACGTTTTTTTAATCTCAGTGACCAACCATGCAATTAACCCATTTTTTTCCTAGCGACTCATTTGTCTTGCTATCTTTAACTCAGTGCAAAACGCAAGCAAGCATGCATATCTAGTCTTCAATAATCGGATGGTTGGTATTTGAATCATGATGATCGTTGATTTACAGCTGCGGTTTGCTTGAAAGCTCTGATTTCCCATGCATTTATTAATGTTTCGCTGTATCCCGCATGAAGGAATTGTGAAGGAGGGGAGGGGACTGGCTTTGCTGCAACTGTTCTCCGGTGTCCGGTTTGTAGAGTCTCCGCCGTCACCGGAATTCCAGCCGATTCTGCAGAACGGCGACAGCGGTCTGCTGAACTTTCCAGTTGCCACAAAAAAAAAATTAAGTTACCATTTAATCCCCTCAACTCTGTAACCACTTCTCAATGAGTCCACTCTCATCGAATTTAAGCACGCGTGGTCTGAAAAAACTTGTGGTTCTATTCTCTTGAATTCAGATTCCGGTCGAAAGAGATGGAGAAAAAATGGTTGGTGCTTCTGCCTCCGGCGAGTGGTCAGAGTCGCCGGAACAAGTGGCGGGATGTGGTGATGTGGCATTAACTTGTGGAGGAAATTGCACCGCTGTCAGTTGTCCGCTCTTGTCTTTTTACCTTCGTTTCCCCCCTTTTCCCTCTGTAGAGGAAAATTAGGAACCACAGATTTGATTTAGGGGGAGAAAGGAGGAAAACCAAGCGACTTGGGGTAATTCCATCATCAGCCATGGCGTTGAATCTGAGTGCCGCTTCTCTCTCCCAGTCCCAGATTTCTTCGTCCGCGTCCCCTTCTACTTCGGCCTCCAGTTGCGGCGGTCATCAGTTTGTCTTCTTAAAACAAAAGCACAAGGATCCCTTGACGAAGCAGCTCCTGCGCCTTGTTCCTTCTTCCAAGGCGTTTGTTCAAGCCGCTGACAATGGAGAATCCGACCCTTCTTCCTCCTCCTCCTCTTCTGGTACATCTCTCTTCTCTGTTCCATACTTGCTCTCCCACTCACTCGGTTTAGTTAGTATTGAACTTCACTGAGGCTGGAATTAGAGATTCTTGATTACCCAAAATGAGCGATTCTAGTTTCAGTGAGCCTCTGCTGATTTAGGGTTTTGATATGATGTCGTTTGGTTTTGAAGAATCGTTGGTGATGTCCTCATCACGCACACAGCTGGAATTATTGGAACAACTTACATCGGCCTCACCATCTCCTAATGGTAAAGGTAACGCGCTGGTTTCTGATTACCCAGAAGCATTCCTTCCATTCATATAATAAGGGCTGAGTCCCACTCTGCATTTATGTTAACCAGGTTACGAGAGTGATAGAGCAACTTCCACGACGATCCGGGAGCAGCTCGTGCGCTTGGCTGGGGACAGAGACGGTGACGACTTCACCATTAAATTGGTGGGTAAAAATCTAAACAAGGCCAGCCCCAAGTTCTTGACAACTTCCCAGAAGAGAAACATCAAGCGACAAGCTTACTTGAATAAGGTATCAACAAGGAATGACTCTGTTTTCTTTGCCACTATCGGAGCCTTTGTCCTTCTTCCACCTTTGATCATCTTGGGGATCGCCGTGGCTACTGGTTACGTTCAGCTCTTTCCCTAAGCGGTAGGAGTAGGATGTATATGCATACTTTACTTGTCATCATCGCCTGTTTATATTATATCTGTATAGTCAATGAAATTCAAGTTGGCTTTACCACTAGTTCTAGTAATAATGTCTGGTTTTCATTTTTGGAATGGACTGGTGGGATGGGGAAAGAAGTATCTTGTGGTTCTTGATGACATCTGTAACTTTAGTCACTGCACGATTTGACAACTTTGTTAGCATGATGAGTCGAGGCTAGCCTAGATCCAATGAGAATAGCATGGTCACTTATTGCACGCAATGCTGACTATCTTGCTGTCAAATTTCATACATCATCTAAATAATAAGGATTTAATGTGGTCTCCCTAAATGTCAGAAGTAGTCCCCATGAGAGATAGAACTCTCCAAGGTAATTCTTGTCGTGTTACTCTGTACAGTACACAAGTTATACACTATAGGTTTGCACATATATAAGCTATTGGCCTATTACATATTGATACCCATATATATATTTCAGCATCAACAAATGCTTCAATTACCAGCTTCCCTATCGAGGGGAAAAAACATGCCTACATCCTGAGTTTGCTTCAAGTAACACAATAACCTATGAATCGCATCCAAATGCATTGTCTGTGTCATACCCATATACGACTCACCACCTGCACTGCATAAGAGATATCCAGATAAGTATGAGTCAAGTAAATGGGATATGCCACCAAGTTCTTCTAGGCCGACTGATCTGCCAACAAGTCACCACTCTCTCGATACAACCACAGGTTTTGCTCTACTGGCCTCACGCAAGGAGTAGACTAACTTTATTGGCCCCCTCTTGTGAATCTGAAATGTAATTCTTCTGGGAAACAAACAAGTCATGATCATAATGTTGTACCTGTAACCCAAGGAAATACTCCACGTCTCATATCTCCTTAAGATTAAACGTGCGATGCAGTAATGTTGTTAACTTCTTTATCCCTTCCACATCGTTTCTCGTCAATACCATATCATCTATGTATATGAGCATAACCATAATTCCATCCATTGTTGTCGAATGAACAAGGAGGGGTCATGATGACTCTGAACAAACCCCTCATAAACATAGTGCCATGAAATTTCTCAAACCAAGTACGAGGTGTCTGCTTCAGCCCATATAGTGATCGAACAAGTTTGCAAACCATACCTGAGTGACCCTTAGTATAACTTGGAGTTAGTTCAATATATATAGCTTCCTTCATATCCTCGTGAAGAAATGCATTCTTCACATCTAACTGAATTAACGACCACCCTTTCAATGCAATACACAAAGCACACATTGCAAAGTCTACATCTTAATAACAGAAAAAGTATCCTCATAGTCAATGTCATACTCCTGCCGAAACCCTTGAGCCACCAACCTTGCATTAAAGCTTTAGAGATTATCATCTAAATGCATCTTTATGGTAAATACCCAACGATTGCCAATGATCGGCATATCCAGTTCTCAAGGGACAAGATCCCATGTGTGATTAGCTTCGAGTGTGCCTAACTCTTCGTGCATGGCTCCCTCTCAACATGGATCTCCTTTTGCCACAACATTCCTTGATGAAACTAAAATGGGATTGGTTGAATTCCCCACATAATCCATCATACGAGCAGGGGGTTGTCCTAAAGTGGCCCTTGTGGATGTCCGAAGTGGAACCAAAGCCTGAGTAGGGAGTGCTGAGGCTTCATGATCTTCGGACATCTGAGACCCATTACTGGTCGAGCTGGAGTTTCCCAAGCTAGATGAGGAGGACAAACGAGCACACAACAAAGGTGAGCTGGGACTTGACAAAGATGAACAACTACTTGAGACGGATGGTGATGAAAAGTTATCACGAGAGCTTTCTTCACCTGACGTAGTTGCATGTGGTGCATGGGGTAGGATGCTTCAAAAGAAGGAAAAGGGCAAGAAAATCCAACGAATCATTGGAGGGAAGCTCGTCCTAGGTAGTCAAGTAGTGAATCACATGTTTGAGGAAGACCACATGACATGAGATCTGCATTTGACGATCCACCGGGTAATTACATAAATATCCCTTATGCTTATCATTTTATCGAACAAACACACACCTGATCAACTTTGGTTCTAATTTATAGTGTTCTTTTTGAGGAAGCAATACTAAAAAACACATCCAAAACCCTCTAATCAGAATAATCTATGGCGAGCGTTGTCCCAACAAAGGCGTTATTTTTGGATTGATTAAGTACACTATGTGTGAACCACCTCAACTCAAAAACTATTTGGGACACGAGAGTGACACAAGAAAGCTCGAGTCAACTCAAAGACATGGCGATGCTTTTGTTTTACAACCCATTCTACTGAGATACTCCTGGCAAGATTGTTGAGGGAGAATACAATCTATTTGTAGAACGCAAGCAATTCAATTAAATTATACTTCCCGCGTGGGACCGAACAAAGAATTTTAATGGTCTTTAAACTGTGTTTGAACAAATTATTTTTCCAAGGGAGCTAGCTCATACTCTACTTAAGAAAATAGACCCATGAAAAATGTTTTGCATTATCTATAAACAAAGCAAAATACTAATATCCCAATCCATGCATAATTTAGTAATCAATCAATCACTCACTCTCTCTCTCTCTCTCTCTCTCTCACACACACACACACACACACATTCATACACACACATAGCGTCAGTCAGATTATATGTCTTTTAGCCTTTAATTTGCTAAGTCATGCACTCCCTTGGGTAGATCCAGTAGATGCCCAAGGCATCACCAGCAGATTCACGAGGCATCGTCAGTACAGTAATAGTAGATGCATGAAGCATCATTAGTAGATGCACGAGGCATCGCCAGTACAATATTAGTAGATGCTTGACGCATCGATAGTAGATGCATGAGGTATTGTCGGTACACTAGGCCTGGTATCACTCTCCCAAAGAGCTAGGAATAAAGCCACAGTATCAAATCTCATAGAGTGCATGGCAGAGTGCCATTAAGTTTGATTTAGGTGATCAAACAATTCATTTATTAGTCACACAATGAGAATCATACATTATCATTATTTAAACATTCACAAACATACCATCATATATGAGCATAACATCGCCCGTTGGCTTTCCATTTCATATATCGCCTCATAGGCTTACCAGTATCACATTCGGCCTTGTAGGCTCCCCAGTATCATACGATATCTAAATGGGCTATCCCAGTATCACCCAACAACCAATTAGGTTATCCTATTAACATTATATGGTAATTCAATCTATTCCCCATCATATACATGTCAAAGTTTCATTCAACATAATCAATCATCATTTACCCTTTTTCACATATATCATCACATAACTATACATTCATAACAACCATCCATCATGCATCAAACATCAAGTTATATACACACATAAATTATATCCATTCAACCATTTCACATCTCACATGCCATATTCGGGCCACTTCATGACCCGGATATCATATTTGTATTCATACATTAATAGGTTAGAATTTACTCACTCTTTTGTAGTCACTCCACGATTCCCTTGCCTCTAGATGTCTCTTCGGCTTTACTCCTTACCTTTAATATATCATAAACACGTATTAAATAATCTAGATAAAGTATCTAAGTCATATACTTCCATATAGAATCGCTAACTAATGAGCATTGGGTTCAAAAATCAATTTCCCTAATCTTATGAGAAAACTCGACCTGCTCCCCTGCCAACACTCGACCGAGTTTCCCTCTGGACCCACTCGATTCTCATCCTCGGCAGTGAAAACACGGCCAGATGGGTCCAAAACTCGGCCGAGTCTTCGACACGAGCTTCCTTACCCTGCTCACAATTTTAATAATACCTCCCTTAATTCTGAACCAGATCGACTGATTCTTTTTCTAGTTAAACTAGGTACACATGGCCTCAACATACTAAAAATTGACTTCATTAGGACTAGTAGTTTGGGCTTGACACTCAATCAAAGTTGAGGTTCAAAACAGATTTCTGCTTCCTCTTCCACTACTCCCCTTCTTTTGATCCAATCCATTCTTAAACCCCAAACAATAACCTCTTGGACAATATCCATGATAAATCATGTATATACACACTCACAAAAATCATCATAACCCTTTACTTCATTCGCCAAACATGGTATGGCCAAGAACTAGGTTTTTGGGCAACGTTGCTATTTTGATCCATAACTAACTCTAACTTTCTTCCCTTGATTTCTAACATCTTCAAACAATATTCGTAGCATGAAATCAAGCAAAAAAATCCTTATTTTGCTCCCTAAATAATTTCTATGGCTTAGGGTTTTTTCTTAGAGAAAGGAAGAAGATGCAACCATGGTTCTTACCTCTTCAAGCTCTCCCCTCCTTATTCTCCAACTCCCAAACTTGCCTTAGCTACCTTAAGTTCATGATTTTTGGGATGATGGAAGATGGTGGTGCTGGGGAGGTGGTGGTGACGGTTTGGAAAATAAGGGAAGAAAATGATAGATGAGAAAGAAGGGAGAGATAAGACAGATTTTTGTCACCTCCAAAATCCTTGTAGAACACTCTCTTCTTCTCCATCCACAACTTCCACTTGGCACCCCTATCACCATTCAGTCCTCCAATTCCCCTTTCTCCACCAATTTAGTCCTCAAAGTTTGTCAAAACACTAAAAAAAACTTACTAATCTCTCCTAAATCACCATAATCATTCAATTCCTAACTTAATGGACAATACAATTATTCCTGTCATTAATAACGTCATTATAATAAAATTATATTTATGAGGGTAATGATGTTACACCTTTGGTAAATTGAAAGTCGGTTAAATCCGAGCAGAAGCTTGGATAAATGAAGAAAAAGCTCAGAAAAAAGCAAATCAATTATATGACCCAATGAAGAGAAAGTGGAGGGGACCCTCGTCGTCTAGTGGTGGTCGATCATTTGATGGAGGTTTTGGCGAGAAGAATGATCCAAATCACCTCATGGGAGCTTGCCAGTGGCTAGTAGTGATATTTTTACCCAGAGGGGTCCCTCCCAAAGTCCTTCGTGTTCGAAGTGTGCGAGGAACCATTTCTGAGCTTGCTATTGCGGTGCACTGGTTTGTTATCGATGTGGGGAATGAGGGCATTATGCACGAGAGTGCTCTTCCCAGGATGATTCAGCTCCCACCTATCACATAGTGGTGGAGCCAGCCCATTAGTGGGCAGGTCCCCGGACCTACTTTGGGTTTGGTCTAG